GGATAATTTATCCCAAGAATGCAAGGTTTATTTTAACATATCAATAAAGAACAAAAACCACATGATCTCAGTACATGCAGAAAAAGCATTTGACAGAATCAAATACTCTTTTAAGGAAAAAAACACTCCACAAAATTAGGAACAGAAGGGAACTTCCTCAATTTGACAAAAAGCATCTATAAAAATAACATCGTATTTAACAGAAAAAGACTGAAAGCTTTCCCCTTCCCTGTTAGGTCATGAATAAAACAAGGATGTGCACTCTCACCACTTTTATTCAACAATAAGCTAGAGGTCTAGCCAAGGCAAATATGCCAGAAAAAACGAATAAAAAGCATCCAGCCTGGAACAGAAAAAGTAAAGTTTGCAAATGACATGATCTTGCGTGTATAAAATTCTAAGGAATCTAATAAAACACTATTAGAACTAAAATGAGTTCAACATTGTGGGAGGATATAAGATCAATTTACAAAATTAAATTCAATTCCTATACACTAGCAACAAACAATCTGAAAATGAAATTAAGAAAACAATTCTACTTAGGAATTGCATGAAACAGCATTAAATACCTAGGAATAAATTAAACAAAGTATAAGACTTATGCACTGAAAACTATAAAAGTGGTGAATGAAACTGAAGAAAATCTAAATGAAAAGACACCCCATGTTCATGGATAGTAAGACTTGCTAGTGTTGGCCTAAAATATTTCCCAAATTGATCTATGTATTCAATGCAGTCCCTGTCAAAACCCTAGATGGTTTTGTTTGTTTGTTTTGTGGAAATTTAACAAGCTAACTTTAAAATTCATATGGAAATGTAAGGGTCACAGAACAGCCCAAAAAATCTTGAAGGAGAAGAACATAGTTGGGAGAGTCTTACTTTCTGACTTCAACTACAAAGGTATGGTAATCAAGACAGTGTGGTATGGACATAAGGAAATACAGATCAATGGAATAAAACTGAAAATCCAGAAATAAACTTGCACATTTATGACTGATTTTTGACAACAGTGACAAAACAATTCAACGAGAAAAGTGGAATTCAACAAATGGCAAGGGGAAAACTGGATATCCACAGCAAAAGAATGAATTTGGACCCCTACCTCACAAAAACGAGTTAAAAATGGATCATATACCTAAATGCCTTAAAATTATCATAAGCCTTAAAATTACGTAACTCCTAAAAGAAAATACAGGAGTAAATCATATCACCCTGAGCTCTTCAATGGTGTCTTAGATACAACACCAAAAGCACAAAAGATAAAACAAAAAAATATATATAAATTGGGCTTTATGAAAATGAAAACCTATGTTGTAAATGATACCTTTAAGAAAGTGAAATGACAACAAGAGAATAGGAGAAAATACTTGTGAATCATTACGTGACAAGGGACTTGTAAGCCAGAACATATAAAGAACTCTTAGAATTCAATAATACAAAGACAATCCAATTTAAAAATGGGCAAAGAATCTGAATAGACATTTCTCCAAATGGCTTCCTCTCTCCCTCCCATAACCCATCACTGCCACTCTCTAGATAGAACCATTCTTGTAGACAACACTCAGTCAGGGGCTTGGCTGGGCAATGTCTCCAGAGCTAAAGACTTTGCCACCCTCCCTTCAGAAAGCTTACCTTAATAACGTAAGCAGTGAAACAGCAGAATAGGAGTTAAAGTTATAAAACACCCGGGGTATGGGAAGACTACAGCAAATAGCTACTGAATGCTCCCTGTGTTTCAGGCAAAGTGTGAGGTACATCAATACCACTTTTATTTACTTCAGCAGTAGGTAGTTATTACTGTACTTACTCTGACATTTAATAAATATTTATTAGGTACCTGGCTGTGTTCCAGATGCTGGTCATATTGTAGTGAACAAGAAAGACAAAAAGATTTTTTAAAAAATCTTAATCATAAAACTTACAAACAAAATAAGATAAATGAGTAAAACCTAAAGAATGTTAACTGGTGATAAGTGCTATGAAGAAAAAGAAAGCAGGAAATGATGAGAAGGGAATGTGGGGGGGGGGGGGGGCGAGGAAGCAGGTTATAGAACTACCCTTTGAGCAAAGACCTCAAGAAAGGCAGGGAGGCACCACGTGCACATCCTTCAAAGAGGATTCTAGGCCCAGGTGGTGTCACGTGCCCAAGTCCCAAGGCAAGTACTGGTATATGCAGGAAAGACCAAGAGGCCCAGATAGGAAGAGTGGTAGCAGCTGAGCTGAGATGAGAGGTGGCCTAATCTTGCTACAGGTCATGTAAGGGCCTTCTCTGTCATCCTCAGAGAAAGATGGGGAAGCACCAGAGATTTTGAGCAAAGGAAAGTACACAGTGAGAAAAACAATGGCTCAGGACAGAGCCCTGGGCCCCTTTCAAAGGAACTGAGCCAATCACTGATGAAGGCCATCAAAATTCATCCCCTCTCCAAAATCTAAACTAAACACCAGAGGTTCAATTAGCCAGTGTTGGGCCTTAAGTGAAAAAGTGACGGAGAGTCAGGGTTAGGCCAGCTACTTCCCGGCCATGTCCATCTGAACAGAAGGCAGCCTGGAATTTAATACTGGTAGACCCAAAGGGTGGAGCAGAGGCAAGAAGAGACAGCCCCAGAGAAAGGAACCTGCTGTTGATCTCATTATAGGGTGACGACAGGCATGTATGGGACTCCTGAGCCTTCCAATAAATCTCCTGCCTTAGCCTCTTTGTGTGGGCTTCTCATCCTCATAATCAAAATCCTTGGCTTAGGCAGGGAGCTATGGTTTGTTATCCAGGTACCACACAGGGGACTGAAAAGATTGTTCATGGCTCTAACTATAACCCAGCTGCAATAAGTCCTGAGGGAAAGGATGTGCTGTATGGAGGGGCAGTTGGGCACCATAGCCTTCTACCCAACCCCAGCTTTCCACAGCTGTTGTTGAGAATATTACACAGTGCCCTTATGTGAAAACATCAGAGATCATCAAAGTGCAATATCAATTACCTCATCCTCTTTTTTAAAATGTGTCAGTATCAATAACAGAGCTTTTAGAATATTCTGCAAGGCTAAAAAATATATTCAGTGATATTTAGTTATTGTTACTCTTCTAAAACAAAGTTAATGAAGCTATGAAATATCTGCTTTGAGTTATAACTCCATTCTGGGTATTTGAAGGTCCTGGAAGCTCTCTTACCACAGGGAGGCTGCAGTTCTGTTCTTCGTGGGCAGCAGGACGAGAGAACTATTGTCCTTCCCCTACCACCCACCTCCTCCTGGGTGGCATGCCAAGATGCCAAGAGAATGCCCAGGAGAAAAGTAGAGATTAATGCATCTCTGTCAACTCTAGACTGAACCTGTTCTAAATGGCTACTTCTAATTCCAAGGGACACAGAGAAGGGAAGAATTATCATACAAGGGTCTTGCCCAGAGCATGCATCTAGCTGCCTTCTGCCCACAGGTGTGCAGGCTGACTCTCAGTCACAAGAGAATCAGTCTGCAGTGCTGTGCCCACGATGTGGGACCCCAAAGCTGCTCATCTTTGAACTGTAACTATCAAGACCCCAGTACAAGCTAATCTCCTGCTAAGCCACCAGTTTATCTAACAGGACGAGTGAAGATGTCAGTAGTTACAATTACCAATAAAAATGTACCACTCCTACAGTACTCTAAAGACATGAACTGACCAATTGTCCCCATGACCCTCTGGGGGAGAACACTTTAGATGTTCTCTCAACATCTGGGCTAAACTGGGGAAGCAGCAGGGATTAAGATCTCAGTCCTGTGTCCTCCACAGGACACTAGGCTTCTCTTAACAATCGAGTCAGAGTCAGGTCATAATTTTCGTAGGAATTAAACGTAAAATATGCCCACCACATTCCATCTCAGCAGCTTCAAGATAAATCTTTTTCATGGTATGAAGTTTAGTACTAATCTCATCCATGGTTTCATCTGGTTTTCCTACCCATCTTTTCTCTTCATCGCCATTTCCCTTTGCAACAATTTCAACCCTGTTTCCCTGCAGTTTGTTTTTTAAGAACTTGAAATCCTTTGGAGGAAGAAGGCTAAGCAATAAATATACTTCTCAGATATGACAGAAGAACGTAGAATCATTCTAAATCACCCAGCAATTACTTAATGAATGTCCGTTTTACCCAGTAGGTGGCAAGTTTAGTGAGAGAAAGAGTGAACAAACAAATGGATGAACAAATGAATGAATAAACAAACAGGTTTACTGTTGAATTAGCTGAAGGGCACAAAGCTCTTAGTGTGGCAGAGATACAAAAGGTCCTTGGGTGGCCTGCAAACTTTCTATTAGACAATAATCTCTTCTCAGAAACAACAGGGAATGGCATTCTGATCTTCCTCTGGTATGGCTCATTCACAGGCAGAGCTACTTTCTTATCTGAGTTGCACACAACATAAAGGTCAGTGAGAATGGGTTCCACTGTCAAATCTATTTCTCAAATGAGAGCTGACCTAAATAGCCCCTGAAGTTTTAAGAATCTAAGTAAGAATATAGATATTTATCTCTTATTTGAGTCTTAAAGTGTAGATTACCTCCAAGTTGTCTTTGAATATCTTACAGATGCATTATTATCACAAAAATCACAAAAAAGAAGACAGTAATATATAGCAGGCATTCATATAGGATGTATATGTTTTTCATCTCTAATTCATGTCATTAAAACCTTTGTAGGGAATCAACAACAGGAAACCTGGATGTTAGCAGGAAGTGAGTGGCTTTAGTTCTTCTTATTTCTCTTTAGCCCAAGGTTTTACTTACCTGCATTTAACATTTTGACATTTACTGGCTCTGAAGGTGATTTTACCACTGACTTTAGGTGGGGACTGTGGAACAGACTTCACTCCCTCTATTGGGAGATCCATTCTCTACTCTCCCAGAAGAAAAAAAAAAAAGACAATCTTGAAGGCAAAGATGTGGTTTCCCTAGGGCACTTGGTGAGATCCCCTGCTTGCACCCCACCCCAGTGGACTACAGAATGGCTGTGTCATCGTGAAGGCACTCACCAGGGTGACAATGGCACATTCAGCTGTCAGCTGAGCAGCACTGAACAGTGTCCGAACAAACCGGTAAATCTGCTTCTGCTCTGGGTTGTGTTTGTCATAATCTGGTGGCACTTCGGATTTCTGGGGAAGGAAATGTTTTCAGATGACTGGCCACCCAATAAAAACAAAAGAGAAATAATTAAACAACATCAGAAGGTGGAGATTACCGAAAGAGGGTGAAGGTTTTCATCAAAAATATCTAAGAGCATCCTTCCATCTGGGTCCCTGGTAGGGAAAATAAAAGAAAATGGAGTTTACTTTCTATAAGAATGTCATTCAAAATAAAATAAAAATATATTTTGATTTAATGTGTTTTAAGAAACTGAAGTCAGTGTTAAATGTAGCAGATGCTATTGGCTACCCATGAGCAATAATTTTTCTTATGTACAACATTCATTTTTGTTTGAGCAGTCTATGAAATAAAGTCTATGAAATAAATTAAACCACATTTAATTGAATTAACCTAAGGTAAAAAAAATCTAGATTTTCATTTTCTGAGTTTTCAAATGAACCAAATCTAAGCAAGTGATAAACTTCTTTAAACATCTTTCTGAGCAAAGGCTGATGGATATGCTTAAACCATTACTATGTTGTAGTTGATAGGAAAGAAGTTCAAGGGCAAAAATGAACATTCAGTGTGTCCTAGAAACTAATTTGAAGTTTTCACAACATGCAACTTAAACACTTTGTTAATTAAGAGTTTCAAAATTTTACATTGAAAAACAAGAGGTGACATGTAGAAAAGCTTAATTCAGTAAGCTATAAACCTATAAAAGAATGGCTCATTGTTACCAGGGCCAGTAAATGCCATTTAAAGTGATGGCTTTCCCTGTAGGCACAGTGCTTTGGGTGGGGCTCTGTAGACACCAACCATACTTCACCAGCAACAGCTCTACTTTCATCTGTTTTATGTCACTTGCCTTCGGCCTAAAAACTATTCTTTAAAAAGCAAATTTGGAAACCATTGCTTTCAGTAACATCATATAATTTCCACAGTCTGTGCTTCCAATGATGATTAGGCTTGTGAATATCAGAAGGGTACAGACCTGTCCCTTAACATATACCCTTTGTAGCAAACACTATAATTTCTGCTCTACAAATTTACTGTCTGTATAAAAATAAAACAGAAAGAAAGAGCTTAACAGAACAACTCTGTTTTCATTACTATGTTTACACAACAGAAATTATTTTTAAAGCTTTGGGCATTCATATCTGTGCTCATTTTCACTAGCCTACAGGAAGACAGGCAACAAAGATTTAGATAAGCCTAAGTAAAAGAAAGGTTCAACTAGGCAGGACCTGCTAACAGGGTCCGAAAACATAAAGACAGCTCCTTCTGGGTGCACCCAGTTACACTTCTTTTATAACGACCCGGCTAGTAAGAATCAGTTGGTCCCTCATCTCACTAACAGCCTCTGCAAGATCTTCAAGGGGCTGTGTGACAAAGCCTGGCCCTGCATCCCATTTCCTTGGGCAGTTCACTCCTGTTCAATATTTCTGAGGAATGAGAGACCCTAAAAAGCTATTCAGCATTCTAGAGAAATATTCACCAGAAGTAACTTTAAAAATGAAAATATAGGATCAAAAATATAAAATAAGGAATAAGAATTTAAGCTAAAATGACTCTGGGAAAAAAACTGACTCCTCTGAGAAAATGGATTTTCCTCTCACTTTTATTGAAAGCTATGTATCCCAGCTGAGCAGCACCCTCTCAATCAAGCTACTGGATCTATCACCAGTTCCAGAGGTTAGCCCAATATGATTTATCAGGAAAAAGTCTGCATAGTCATGCCACCTCTTTCCAAAGGCCTTCAGGTTACAATCTGTGGGCTTATCATGCCTGTTCACAAACGCTCACTTTTTTTAGTTGGATTTTCTCCACTTCTACTCACTAACTTTTGTTCTATTTTATCACCATTACCCCAGTAGATTATACGATTTAAGGTCTCAGTATATTGCTTAGGTTCAATCCCCAATTCCCCAATTTATTAGCTTTGTACTCTTAAGCAAATTATTTCTCTGTGCCTTAGTTTCTTTACTAAGATAAATGGAGATAATATCAGTATCACCTCACGGAACTGTTTTATAAACTAAATGAGATAATACATATAAATAGCAACCAGGGTAGCCAGAGTAAATGCTTAATAAAGATGGTTCTTATTACTTTCAGTTGTGGCTACAAATTAACTTTGAGATGCACAACAGTCTAAGAACTGAGAAATCACTTACAGAGAGATGCTAATGCAAAAGTGGTTTGAGAACACATTCAAGTTTCACTAGTGGTATTATAGTGTTATGTAAGACTTAAATGTTTAAAAGTCTGAACTGTTATCTTAGAAACAGGCAGCAAGACCAAATCTGTACTTTCACTGATAAGTTATTCTGGGCAAGGTTCAAAGTTCCACTATGCTCCATTTTCTAAGTTCTTACATCCAAAATTCTCAAGCACCAGAAAGAACTTGGAGTCACAATTACAATACTGAAAAAGGTCACTGCAGAGAACACCTTTCCAAGTGTTTGCTTCCAGGTATTTGTGTTTTCCCATAACATTGTTCATTCATTAGACGCTCTGTCATGAAAGCTCCACTTCTCTGACTTACCACAACTCTCCAATGTCCCCCTTGTAAAGCAGACTGACGATGATGTGGCTCCCCTCACTGAGAGCCATGCTAACCATGAGGTGGCTATGCTTGTTCCCAGAATTGGTTCACACCAGTTGTACTTGTTATATTCATGTAACATATGACAATGTTAAATATCAATCAATGAAATATGACTGCAATGAGAGTGGCTTTGTTCTTATGAAAATAAAGAAGGAATGCTTTGGAAACACCCAATAAAAAGTTATCACTAAAAATAAATTTGTTGTAGATTATGTGTGGTCATAACCTGAAAGATTCTACACTCAAATTATTTTAGAAATGTCTTAAGTTTTGTCACTATTGACTTAAAAAAAATATGGAAAGGATGAATTACAGGTGTGGCTTATAAAATACAGTCACTTTGGTACTCTAACCAACGCCCCAGATTCAAAGCAAAAGTTTTGACGCTGCATAAAAATATGGCAACGAATGTACTTTTTACACATTTTATGTTGAGATAAGATGTTTAAAGTAAATTTTTAGAATGATTTTTCTATGATTTCCTGTTTCAACTGACTTTAAATTAACTAAATTGTCTCCAGATTCACTTATATCAGAGAGAAGGATTCTACTACATTAAAATAGTTTATATCTAAATTTACACCATAATTTATTCTACTGATTTAAAACTATAAGCATTTTTTTCTCATGTTGAAGTTGCACATAGTAAATTTTTAAAATAATTTTTATAAAAGAATGTTTAAACAAATTATACAGGAAATCAAGAGTGAAGAGGAAAGCTGAGCATTATCAAGATGTGTTCTGTTTTGCTGACTTCAAACACAAGCACCCATTTGGTTTCCTCTGATTGAGAAGCAATTTGGCACTTACCTGGGAAGTTTTGGTAAATTGTACTAACTCTAGAAATTCCAAGAAAACATGACTAGAGAATATAAAGGCTGAAGCAAGTAGACATAATAGGGGAAAAAAGAGAGAAAAAACATAGTAGGAGATAACGTGTAATGTTTTTAGCACAAAATTAATCATCCACATACCTGTTTTTGATGTGGTAATATATTGCGAGAGCTACACTGTAAAATAAAATGCAGGGTTCAATGTTTCATAAGCATATCCAAAATGTTATATATTATCTGTCTAATCATAAAATATTTAAATTTAAGTAAAAGTCAAACAATCCATCTCAAAAGTCCCAATTAAAGCAGAATGCTGATCAAGAAATCTCTTTAAAAAAAAAAATCATTCTTCAAAGTAAATCAATCTTGTACTCATTTCCAGCAATTATTAAATATTTTCCAGAAACACCAAAACCTCAAGAGGTATTTAGAAACAAATTCTCTTTCTACTTGAAATTTTTAGCTTTCTTCACTTGTAAAATATAGACACTATGTAAAAACAGGTAGTGCAAATCAAGCACCTTTAGAAATTTCCAACTTATTACCTCCCAGTTTAGAAAATTTTTGGTTTATTTATAACTACCAGAAAAAAGTATCACCCACAGTGGTTTGCTGTTCTTTTCTGTTACATCAGTAACCTCTTGGCAATCCACCTAACTTATTCATTCACTTGCTAAAATAGTAATATAAATCCTATTTGTAACACTACCTTAAATTTTTTATTTAACATTTTAAAAGATCTGAATTTAATGAAGACACTCCCTTCTCCTGAATATTTTTTTTCAAATAATGCTTTTCTGATTAAAAAGACGTTATATTCATATTGTAGAACTTCTGGGAAATATAGGAAGTGTAAAAAAAAAAAAAAAAAGTAAACCCTTTGCCCAAAGAAGACTACTTGAGATATGCAGATATCTATTTCTGTCTCTCAATTATATGTGTAAATAGGTTTACATCCTACTTTTGTCCTCATTAATATTTTTCTTACCATTAAAGTACGCTTTAAAAACAGGACTTTAAATGGCTGATTATATTCCATTTATATAGTTACTGAATAATTTATTAACTATCCCCCTACTATTGAACATTTAAGTTGGTTCTAATATTTCGTAATTATAATTAACACCATACTGATATTTTCAGAGACAAGTATTTGTGCAACCTATGACTATATTATTTCCATAAGAAAACATTCTGTAATGTGAATTACTCAATCTAAAGTTGTTAATAATTGAAGGCTCTCCACATAAACTGACAAGTATTTTTGCAGAAAAAAAAAAAATGTACCAGTGTATTTCCCCATCAGTGTCTGTTTTAACCTTACACTTGCTGACACTCACCTTGAATATTCTGAAAAAATGTTCTCCAACGTAAAGTGTACTTGTTTTCAATTTGGGTTTCTCTGATCACCTATGAAGTTGGTGGGGTTATTCATGTTAACTGGCCACTTTTTTTTTTTAATTTCCTTTTTTGTAAGCTGTCAAGATCATTCCACTACTTTTTGTTTTACTTTAAAATTTATTGAGGAGACCAAAATTTATTTTTTAAGCTTCTAAGAATATCACTGACTGACTGCATCAGATTGTGTTCTGGGTACTTGGAGCACAGAAACTGCCATCCAGGCATGACACGGAGGTAGAGGGCTCAGTCCTAAACACAGCTGACTCAGCGTTGGGATTCCAAATAGCTCAGTGGCTTACCTATGACTTCCTATGACAATAGACAAGAAATCTCTAGTCTTCCAAATGTCTCTCCAGACCTATTCCTTCAAAATGATTTTTGAAAAACATTATTCAGATAAATGTTAAAAGTCCTCATGAGCAAATGGCAATATATTCTCTTTCTCCTAACATATTCAAGAGAATCTAAGCTGATGAAGGAATTGTAACTTGGGTGAAAGGACTTCAGAATCAAATAATAATAATAATAATAATAATAATAGTAATAATAGTAATAATACTGTTTTCAAGCATACATTAACAGCATACATTAACATTGATATCAAAAGCAGCAGATGTTATTGACTGTATTTCACAAATGAGAAAAATTCAGGTTCAGATACTGGATACCAGGATTTCTGACTAGTATAATGGTTTTGTGCCCTTTAGTTCTAACACGTTGCCTCTAGGGAAAAGGATGCAATTATCATTTAATTTGTTTAACAGTCATACTGTGTGACTGCTTTCTAATCTAATGTCAGATTTAGATTGATGTTTCATATGATTGGGTTTGGTGCAGTGACTAGTTTAGTCACTTTGATTGCTTGCAAAAGATAATGGTTCTTGCCTCCTCTGTGTGGAGTGTGACATAGGAAAAATATCCCCAGACTAAGTCAGAATAAGCTGAGTGTAAAACCTGGATCCTTCATTTATTACAGTTCATTCATCTCTCAGCCTACATTTCCTCATCTATAAAATTAGGACAATTCAACCTACGTCACAGAGATGTTATTATAACCAAATGAAATATACAAAAGGATTATTTCAAATACAAAAATCCAAAACAAAAGACATTATTATCATGGTTACTCCCCTATCAATAATTTCATCTCAAGCATCTCATAATTTGCTTCTGCAAACTGAGTTAAAATCTTCAGGGCCCCAAGGTCACTATCTTCCAAATCTCCTGAGCTGACTGCAAGACTGGACATTATCATGACGTTACGCCTCCATGAAAAATAGAGCCACACTGTAGGACAAATTCCACTTGAGGTTATATCCCCAAAATTAAGAAAACCAAGCTCAGAATTCACATACAGTACAGGTCCATAGGCCAGTTTAGTCAGTCATCTTGGAAAAAGTGATTGCTGGGGGCAAAGGGCAGTCAGTGGAAAACTGCATCAGTCCCACACTTTAGGCTTCAGAGACCTACTCAGTTCTGATACATACTCAGAAAATGGTGAGGTCTCACCAAAGATGGGCTAGACCCAAACCAGAAGTACGTTTGGATCAAAGGGTTTGCTCAACTGCTTTTGCCACATAGCTTGGAATAAAGAAATACTATTTTCTTGACCAAGAAAGCAAAACAGATTTGTGACTGTTGGCCCTGTACTTGTAGGAGCCTAGAGCTAATACAGCAAAGCATGTGACAAGCCTAAAACCTTTGAAGACCAAGAGGTGGTGGGTTCTGCCAGCACTGAGGAGCTCCCACCTGCTCCCCACCCTTTCCTTTAATCACCATACCTATGCCCCCCGTAGGGGATTCTGGCTGGGGGGCGGGAGGGAAGACAGAGGTCAGCTGCAGAGGTGTGTGTGTCGGAGAGGGGGGGGGGGGGGGGGGGGGGGGGGGGGGGGGGGGAGGGGATGGCTAGCAAACTCTAAATTCAATACCACAGCTGTTGGCATTTAGGGGAAAGATGGGAAAATTCAAATTGTCAAAACAGAAATCGTGCCTATGAAAAGAATGAGCACAGAATGCTCCCACTTTTACACTTCAACTTTCCATTCAGAACAGCACTCACCCCTCCATGCACTCCTCAACTAGAATTTGTAAATACACGTGTTCATTTTGGCAGCCCACAACTTGACGAAGGGGTTTCTCTTAAAACTTAGGTTAGAAATCGATGTTTAGAATTCAAAGGATTTTCTCAAAGAAACAAGGTCATACTTGGTTTTCAAGAAGGAAGTTCAGCCCAAAGATACTCACCGTGTCCATAATGAAGCTCAACTGTATTAATGGTTTTGGTATTTTTAATGTCTGGGGGGAAGGGACCAAGAAGAGGCCTTGGATTTAGGTAAAGCAGAAAAAGCAGAAAAGGGAAAATAGGGGTTTCATTTTGATAGGTGCAGGGTAAGTTTAAGGCACAATTTTAGAACAGGAGGGCATTCAGATTTAGCTTCCTTCTACCCTGCTTTTTGACTCTTCTCTCCCTTCCGAGTATCCCTTTCTCCTTACACTTTCAAAGACCCTGGCTGGAGCTCACCCAGGCCTGCTAACACCCTGAAATATTTTTTTACTTTTTACTTCCTGGATTATAACCCAGCCAAGAGTGAGATGGAGGCATTTACAGGGAAGATTCTGATCGTCCTGCTTCAGTTAGGGACCACCCTGCTCTGAGGTCCAAAATACAAACTTTGTTGTTGTTGTTTTTTTAATTTTTTTTTTAACGTTTATTTATTTTTGAGACAGAGAGAGACAGAGCATGAACAGGGGAGGGTCAGAGACAGAGGGAGACACAGAATCCGAAACAGGCTCCAGGCTCTGAGCTGTCAGCACAGAGCCTGATGCAGGGCTCGAACTCACGGACCATGAGATCATGACCTGAGCCGAAGTCGGACGCTTAACCGACTGAGCCACCCAGGCGCCCCCAAAATACAAACTTTGAAAAAAAGGGGGGGGCACTTTTTAAAATAAATGAACTACTGACTGAAGAACTTTCACATGTAGCTAGTGCAAAGGAAATGTCATTTGGATCAGGGAAGTCATAGTATTCACACTGAATGTTTTGTTTCAACAGTCCACTATTTAACTGGGCCAGCTTTTCAGCTCTTTTTCCTCCATTTATTAGTCTATAATTTAGAAGTTTCAAGGAACTTTGGTGGGGGGACAGGAGAGGAACTGTCTACTTACATCAGGAGTTCTCAACCTTGGCTGCCTACTACAATCTCCTAGGGAGGGTATTAAAAATCCAGATACCAGAACTGTATGGCGAGACATTAAACTGCTGATATCAACATGTTTTTCAGCTCCCAGGTGACTCCAGGATGTAACCAGGGGCTGGAACCACTCATTTGCACAGCAGCACATTTGTAACTTGGGTGACACTGACATATCAAAGTGCTACCCAGTTTTCCCACTAGGCTCCTAACTGTCTATGTCACAACCAGTGGCAATTTTAAGTTACCCAAGGTTAAAGTGTTGAGCAACTGAGTCGGATCCATTTGTAAATTCCAAGAGCTCTTGTTGGCCCTGAAAGTAAAGGTGCCCTCTGCTCCACTTGGCCTCCCTTCCTGTCGAAGAGGATCCCAGGATTAAAGAGAAGTTAGCAGCTTCTGTTCTGGGCTCTCTGGAACTTGTGCAGATGCCAAGAGCCACATGGTACACAGATCTTCAGGGCTTTCCACTCCTCTCCACAACCACTAGTGATTTACTCCAGAAAATACTTCCAAGAGATACTGTACTTCCTATGTCCTGGCAGTAAGCCGTGGCACAAGTGGCTTAGTGAAGGCCACACACTGTGGAGCTCTGACATGCATACCTCTTCCCAGCTACAATCATGGACTGTGAGTTTATGCCCACTTGTCATTTATCAGGCCCTTAAAAGCCAAGGTAATAAGGGAAGAAGCTACATTTCTACTTAGATCTTAGAAAACATGCAACCTTTCAGGAGAGAAGGCAGCTTGCCTTGAAGTGGTTCTATCTTCCACCTCTCCCTCCCAGCTGGAGTGGATGCTGTCCACAGAAGACTGCTACAGTCAACACTGCCTGACTGAGGCTGTGATTTATTGTCACACATTGATCACACTCAGAGTAGGGTTTCTAAGTCTGAAAATGTAAGCCACTGAAATAATACTTCTTATTTAGGAATTAAAACACATCATACACTAAACTGGACTGTTGTTAAATGTGTAATTTCTGAAGCACATATAGAAATAAAATATCCCAGGTTTTTGGCAGTTGAACTGATGACCACAGACCTCAGCACATCGGGTTTTCTGTGACCTCTGTCAAAGGTCTTGATTATCACAATGCTAATGGAAACATAAAAGAAAAAAGTGTTCCTTTCCTCTTATCTTCCATTTTAAAATTAGGAAACTGAACCCCAAAAGGGAAAGGATTTTATCCAAAGACTCCCCTTCCTCCCTTAAACCCCACTTTAAAACAAGGCTACAAAGAGAAGGGTTTTACTAAACCCTCCCTGTTGGTGAGAGACTCAATATCAGAACTCAGATCTCTCGACTCTGGGCAAATACACTTTCGCTATCAGGCCTGCTTTCTACTGTAGCCTCAAGTCTTAAAGGGGACCACAGAAGCCCCGCTTTATTTCAAAGGTAAAATATTAGCAGAGTTACTCCAGGATGGCTTTAATAAAAAGTGGGAAGGTAGGAGGTATACACAGAAATCAAATACATGCTTTCACCTATATTTGAAATAATTTTTAAATTTGCTCTTTTATGTAAATGGTAATGTGCACAAATATTTTGAACACCCCACGTTTTAACTACCCAAGTTACTTTTTAAACAGATTTCCTCAATAGTCAATGGCTTTCTCCAAGCCCAATCTTACCACTCTCAGACCCCACAACCAACCAGTTAGCTATCAGGTTAAGTAGAAAAAGCATTCAGTTAAGCAAAACTGTGTATACCCACCATTTAATTGTATACTTGAGGTTTGGTTGACTGACTGTGCTATCATCTAGGAAAATAGTGGAGCAGGAGCTGTATTTCCTCGCTATTTGTCCTGGAGGATGCTAGAAAACAATGGCAACAAAGAAGGAAAATTAAATGGAGCTCAAAATTCTTCCAAGAAACATCATCACCTTAAACTTGATAGCAGACCACAGAAAAAAAATGTCTTAGCAAGAAACATTAATACTACCAGCAGGAACAGTACAAAAATACTTTCTTCCTACAATGAAACTCCTTGTTCTTCCACATGTAAAAGTCACCAAAAGCACTGTTAGCCGCCTTCAGTGGGAGTACAGTATTCTCTTGCAATCAAGCATCAAAGAGTGTGTTACAGAGTCCATAAAAATCACCTGCCCTGGCTGTGTAAAAAAAGAAACACACTAATCTTTACATCAGTGAAAGCCTCTAATTAAGGCAACATCCCAGTTTTATGCATCAAGATCAAGGCAAGAGACAATTGTACCCATTTTCTCTATTCTTGAGGTACAGCTGATTTGGAGGCCATGGAAAATGCAACCAATGTAAATTTAGATCTTCTGGTTAATCTGCTTGAATATCAGGAAATGAAGTTATAAAGAATAAAGTATTCTTTTTTTAGGGGCAAAAGATATTTTAAAGGGGACAGTTTCTGATACTTTGGAAAATACAACCAATTGATGACCTTCAGGTGGTTCCTATTCAGTCTTATGACTGATTCTTTCACAAATGTATAAAATATGAGCTCTTCGAAGAACTTCAGAACTGAGAACTACTTCTGAAAGGTATTAGTAAAGAAAACAGAATTTAAATCATATACTGATGACATCTAATTGAATACTAGGTAGATTTTTGGCAATATGATTAGTAGACATTACTCCAGATAATTCTTGTTCAAAAGCAAGTAAGGGGAACAAAAAAATCAAATCACCCAAACAAGTTCCCATTTTCCTGGTGCTACGTTGACAGTCCAAGTGGCATTTCCAGCAACCAATACAAATAATCCCTCAGGGATAATAAAATTGTCTGCCTCAACTGCCAAACTGCAACAAAGTCCTCAGTGACCACACTTTACAAGGAAGCCTTAAAGGTAATCAGAAACCAAATGCTCTATTCCACACTTTAAAATTTACTTCTTACTTAATAAGGTTTTCTTTGCAATTAAAATTATGAAAATATGCAATAGCCTAAGAAATACAAAAACGATGATATAAATAGAATCTCCCCTCTAAACTATAAATGGTAATAGTCACTATTTGAAGTATCCAGTTCCCTCAATCACAGCTAGAGGGCACTGCACTACTGAAACATTATAAGCCTCCCTAGCACTGGTTTTATATAAATAGCATGTGGGTCAGAAGGAAATAACCAAAGTCAGGAAATTCAGTTCTTGGGCTTTCCTTCTTAAGTTCACACTGTTCTGTGCCTGTGTAAGGAAAGGGCACAAAGAAAACTTGCAAAGATCAAGTTACAATTAGAATGTCAATTTTAAAATGGCATTTTCGGGGCGCCTGGGTGGCGCAGTCGGTTAAGCGTCCGACTTCAGCCAGGTCACGATCTTGCGGTCCGTGAGTTCGAGCCCCGCGTCAGACTCTGGGCTGATGGCTCAGAGCCTGGAGCCTGTTTCCGATTCTGTGTCTCCCTCTCTCTCTGCCCCTCCCCCGTTCATGCTCTGTCTCTCTCTGTCCCAAAAATAAATAAACGTTGAAAAAAAAAAATTAAAAAAAAAATAAAATGGCATTTTCACATCCAACAAGTTAATCACAACATTCTCATTAGAACAATCGAAAGGCACTAAAAATTCTTTTTCTCTTCTTAAGCTCTTATAGCAATCATATTTAAGTCACACAAGACACACTAAAAACTCGGAACGTAATATAGCTATTTACGGTCTTGTGAAATTTTCCTCATGGGTGCAAAATCTACCACAAACAATAATCTCAACAGATACTATGTTTAACACCAAAATTCAGTAATTAATTGATGTATTAATGAATTTTCAGAGATAACAGGGTAATTTTAGGTATAATTCCAAACATGAAGCAAAAGGACAATAACTCACTTATTTTTTGAGTAGTTTCAACTATTCCCTCTGACATAAATTTCACAAGATTAAAATGTGAGGGGAATTGCATGAGCATCAGAGTCGATAAGAGGCGATGAGAGATGCACTCAGGTGAATACAATCTCCCTCATAGTCTAAGAAACCCCTTTCCATGAGCCCACGGGCAAGCACACCCCAGGGCACACACAGTCCCTAACAGTCAGGGTTAACTCGAGACCAGCACTACAGAGCACAGCCTCCTAGCACTCAGGGTTGGTGTGCCAAAGCCCTCAATTTGCCAGGGGAACATCAACCAAGCGTTCAAACTACATCACAATTTCCAAATTGAAAATAAATCCTAGGTATTAAGTTATAAGGATTTTTAGTTGCAGGGTGCCTCATCACTCTAAAATATCATTTGGGTGTTAAGTCACTTGTTGAATGTCAGGACTACAAGATTCAGAAAATGCAAACTTCTCTGGATCTGAAATTCACATCACCAAAAAGCTGAAATAATTAGAAGCCTGTAGAAGAAAAGCTCTTGACTCTGGGGTTGCTTTCCTGCTTTGGTTTCTGTTTTGAACTGTTCTGTGTAGCAGAAGGAAGAGACCAGCCTGGGCACCAGCACCTTCTGACATGAAGCACCACTACTGTGTGTGTCCTGCAACACGGACAGTTTGACCTCTGCAATGCCTCTGAAGCATCGGAGACCCACGGACATTCACAGAAAACTGTGTTCTAATTTGTTAAATATTTTTCATAAGCACAGAGTGCAGTCTTAGTATTACATAACATAATATAAAGTTAACATTAATTTATTTGTCCCATGATTCTAAAAAGTCAGTATGCTTGTAGATGTGTATGTTTGGCACATATAAACTCTTCCCCTTAGGTTCTAGTCCTGCCTCATAAATCCTCATAAATCTCCGGTGCCATGGTGCACCGGAGAGCAGCAGGTGAAAGGACAGGTAGGTGCTAGGGTCACAACCCCAGGTGTGACCCTGACATGGCCATACTAACTCTGTGAGCCAGGCAAGTTGCTTAGCCTCCCTCTCTGTGCCTCCTTGTCCCTGTCTGTAAAACAGAGATGAAGATAACAGACACTACCTTACAGGTCATTATGAGGAGTAGATGAGTTAGTATTTGTAAAGTGCTTAGAGCAGGGCCAGCACATAGTACTTGTTAAATAAAAAGTACATTAAACATGTCAAAGAAAGCGATAGGAATGCTTTTTATGCTAATGTCTGTTAACATATTAGAATACTAGAAGTATATAGAAGAAAATGACAAAGACAGTGTTTTACTGTAGAAGGAAGGGCATAGCATTATAGTTAGCTGCCTTAGAAAGACAGTACCAAGAATGACAGCTGTCTTGGTGAGAGATCAGATATTATAATGCCAACCATAAACTGCTTGGAAGGGGAGCAGAGAACAGTCCAATTAGCAAGAAGCCGATTATGGATTTTAAGGAAATAAGTTTTAAACTACTGTTCAAAGTATTTTGAGAAATAAAAGTTACTGTCTTTGAAATAGTGTGTATTTTACAAATTAAGTACTAAATATGCAGAATAAAAGTTTAGAATGGAAAGAAGAACATCTAGTCCACCTATTCACACCATGCCCACAGTATAAAATAACCTATTACTTCTACCAAGATCCACTAACACACAATTGCTGGACTGTATATTTAAGAGGATTTTATTGAAGAGTTATCATGTGTGCCAAATAATGAGATTATCCTTTTCTGTAACTCCAATCAGATGTCTGTCAGATACAAAGATATATACACACACGTGCACGTGCACACACACACAATCTAAGTGCAGGACAAAGAGAAATGGGGTCCTGAGATAAGACCTCCAATGGACCCTCCACAACGACCAGAAATTCTTCTCCCAACTATTTCAACACCCCCCCCCCCACCACCTTCTCAGATCCTCTGTCTGCTGCCTCACCCAGAGCTCCTGTCCGCAGGCAGCACGCATCTCAGAAAACTGAGAGGCCATCAGGCAAACACCCACTCACCTTACTGCTTCTTCTTCCCTGGAAAATGAACCTATAGTACCGCCTCACCCACCTCCAGTGAAAGACCTAACACCCTCCAGGCTGGGGCTAGTGAATGACTCAGCATCTTCAAATTTTCTAAAAGTTGGCTCACACTCCGCACACAATACCCATTCACAAAGAGCTCCAACCTCTACCACAAAGAGTACTTTCCATCCCTAGCTCCCTCCTAGCCTCCTTTTATCCTTCTGGCTACTCAGTCCCCTTTTGTGGACTCGGCTTCTCTCAATTCAGTGGAAGGTGACTGTCTTTTAGCCTCCCTGTGTTCTTTCCCCCCAAGGGGTTCCTGCTCTATTCCTGTTAGTTCAACTTCCTCCTGCTCTCTTTTGAGCCCCAAATCTCTCCTCTCTGGCCCAGCCTCTCTCCTGAGCTTTCCACATAAATGTTCCTCGTAGGCACCTCAAATGGCAAATTAATCTCTTCTTCCATTCAATTATGATGACTTAAAACCAGAAATCTACAAAATATTCAGGAATATTTTGTCTTTCCTTTGGTCTCCTTGCAAAAAGTACTATTGATTCTACTTCCAAACTATATTTCAAAAGAATTTTCCTCTACATCTTTCCAGCCACTAACCGGCATATGAATGGCTTCCATTATTTCTCACCTTTATTACTGCAAAAACCATCCTGCCTCTAGGTTCATTTCTCTCCAAACCAGTATTCCTCTGATGCTACTGTGATCTTTTTACAAAGCAAATCAGATCATGTCACCTCCTTGCTTAAATGATTCAGAGGTTCTCCACTGCAGGAAGAGGACATTTATCATCTCTTCATCTTCCCAGGTCACCACTCACTTCTTCCTTGCATGTACACTACACTTAGGCATAATTAAATGATGACAGTAACAACAACTTTTATTTAATGGCCATGAAATAAAAGCCAACAGTATTCTGGATACTTTACATGTATTCATTTACAGCTCACAAACCCCTAGCAAGACAGGCAGAATTCTCATTTTACAGATAAATCAAAGGAG